GATAGATAGATAGATATAGATAGAGAGGTATATAGATATAGTCAAATTAGGTTGTGTTTTTTGCTCAGGGCATAGGACTCCAAAACCTTGAGGTCTTGTTACTATATTGCGTGCCTAACCTCATTATGGTAATTTAAGTTGGCGGCCTTGACATGAATCCAAAAGCTGGTGCATGCAAAGACACCCCAATGTCGACTTGTAGTTTAGAAGCCTAACTAACCCTTACTGTAGCATACCCCGAAACATGCCAGGACTCCCTTCTAATCAAGGCACCTGTATTCGATGTAATGCCACTTCAGGCGACCCGAGCTTTCTGTCAGGGCAACATCGGTCTAGCGAAAAAAGAAGTAGTACCCCTGAGTGATTACCCATAGTCCTTTTTGGAGTTTACCTATAATACTACTACACCCGAAAGCCTTGCTCTGACTATTAAAGCCCCTATACTATAGGGCTGTGGTTTCAAATACAAAAAGAGCTCCGATCCCGAAGCTTCCAAGGCCGTTGAAACAGTAGTTCTCATAGTACCAATAACAACAACAGGCATAGCAATAGTGAAAACAATGCCAATAAACCACCCTAAACCCTAAACCCCTTCAAGGAAAACTGGTGGGATCCCGAAGATGCTGGCGCTCTTCTTGAGCTCTGGCTGGCGCTTTGCATTGCTCGCCTGGCTGGTGGGTTCCTTAGAAATTACTGCAGCCATGGACAGAGCCCTTAAAGGAACCCTACTTCAAGGATCATGGGACTTCGTAACTAGAGCTAGAAGCTGGGTAGTTTATATTTACTTGTGACCGCCTGATCCTCCAAGTATGCTCGAGACCGAAACCAAAACCCAAACCGCCTCAAAATCCATGCTAGCTCCTAAAGGTTTAGGGTTTAGGGTTTAACATCCCACACATGAAACTAAGCCCAAAGTCAGGCCCTCAAGCTGCCTGCACCTGTCCCCCAGTGCCTCCGAATTATTGGCTGGAGCAACCCTGATAGAGCCCCCGATATGCTAGAAATCCTTTGACAGTACGCTTGTAATAACCTTTAGGGTTTAGGGTTTAGGGCCCTTAGAGAGGCACCTATGTACTGTGGTACCCTCATATAGTACCCTTCATCGTAAGAGAACCCTGCGCAGGTGGCACAGGTTTTGACGACGATGTGGCTTGCCAAAGAGCTTCCGGGGCGTTGGAGTCTTGGGGTCTTAGGGTTTAAGGTTCAAGAGTTCGTATAAAGGGCTACTACAAGGGCTTGGTGGTCTTAGAGCTTAGGGTTTTTTGTCAAGGAGTTTGGGGGCTCAGGACCTTGGGCGCAAGGCTTAGGGTCGTTCGATTTCAGTGCTAGCGGCTGCGTTCTTGATTTTCGCAGGGCAACCTGAGAGACTTAACTTTTCATCTTGGGGAAGGGCTACACTAGCATTGATTTAGGAGAATCTGTCGGCACTTCCATCGCACACAAAGCCACAAAACCCTATTGCAGTCATCCTTGCAGTTGTCTTTAGTCTCTCTGGTTCTTAGTAGGGAATGGGGGAATGGATTCCCTTAAGGTCCCCTATAGTAGTCCCAATAACCCGTTCCTCCATTCCCTACTAAGAACCAGGGAGTAGTGTTCTGTGCATTGGTTCAGGGTTGGGGCTCCAAGCCTATATGGCTAGTTCTCTAAGTTCGGGTCGCTTGTGTGGCTCCTTCCTATACGGGTGCCGCACTAGATTGGGGACCTAGACAGGGAAACCGGCTTTAGAGAACTACCCATATCTTGCTTCCAAACAATGTCAACTCCTACAGTCCAACATCTCCGCAACAGCCCCCTCTAAACCCTGCAGCCAGTCCCCGGCATACCCGACAATCGGCGGCCGAACCCCTTCAACCGATTTTAGAACCCGAATTAACCGGGAAAAATGCTCTTCCTTAGGGTTCTTGCTTGCGTTTCTTTATTGCGATACAGCCCTCAGCCTCCTCTAACGAAGGGCCAAGCCCCCTATATCCCACATTGAGCCAACTGCCTCAAGCCTGAACTGAAAAACATCGTGGACTGAGAACGCCAAGGCTTAAGGTTTAGGGTTTAAGGAGCCTCAACCCTAGACTCCGAAACCCTAAACCCCTAAACCCCTAAACAATTAAACCCCTAAACGCCTAAACCCTAAACCCTGGACTGAGGATTTATCTTGTCTGTCCCGAATGCATCATCACGCCCTTCACGTTCAAAGCGAGCGTGTTGGGTTTCGAGGCCACTTGCAGAGTACGGGACCCTGAGATGCTAAAGCTCGTATAGTATAGTATATTGTAGCATATTGTAGCATGTACGGTATAGTATAGTTATACTGTTATACTATATCGACCCCATGAAAAGTTTAAGTTCGGTTGTGTTTTCAGCGTTTTCAGGGCATCCAAACACTGAAGGCCCACACGGAAACTGACCTCAGCGAGGGTCGGCTGTGAATCTTAAGGTTTCTATGCATCCCGCGGCCGGCCAAGCGGGCCTTAATAACAAACCAGAATAAAAGTATTGCGAGTACTTCTACGATGATTATTGTGATTCTTATTGTCATTAGTATTATGCTGGGGGCTGGGAGACAACCCTGAAAGGTTGAGGATCCCACTGTCCCAGCCCGCCCGACAGCAATACTCGCCCGAAGTATTGGAAGAAAAAGTTGAAGTTGCCATCGTGGTCGTCGAAACAGCGCCAGTAGCAATAGCGGCAGCCGAGGTAGGAGTAGCAGCAGAAGCACTGCTGTCACTACGATGACGACCACGCCACCACCACGACCATGACGATTGCTGTGCTTCCACTCTTGCTCCAATCACCTTTTCAGTGTCACAATGTTTGTTGAAGAAATATGTTCATCATTACTGGGAATCGGATCACCTGTGAGCATGGACTAAATTTCGGTGGGGAGCACTCCACGGTCGCTTGCTCTGACTGCTGTCGTGTAGCGTTTGCCTGTATTGCACGTATTGCTGTCATGACCGTTGGTATCTTAGCTGCTGTGCTGCAGTGGAAAATGTCCACAACTCTAAAAGCATACAGTATACAACGGTATACCATAGCACAGTACATTTTACTATAGTGCGCCATACTAAAACGATACTAGGCATCGCAAATTATGCTTTAACTATACCATAGTAGAGTATGCTATAGTTAGACCACACTTACTTATACTCGAGCTATACTGCTATACTATAAGCACACTGTAATTCTATTATGCACCTACAGTATATTTATACTCTCTCTCTCCTAGGCCCTGAGTAGTACCCTTTTGCCCCTTTTAGTTTAGGGCCCCCTTGCTAAAACCGAATAGTAGGAAAAAGGGTACCCTTATTATAAAGAGGCTGCTCAGGAACCAAGTCTCTCTCGAAGCACAGCCAGGACTATTGTCCGCTGGCACCCTGGATGATTGTCGCGGGAGTCGTCGGCACCGTCTCGGGCTTTCTGCTCTTTGGGCTTTTGACGTTTCTTAAGGCTTTCGGGGCGAGTTAGGTAGAGCTGGGGCCTGGGACTACTATGGGATTTTGGGGGTTCCTTTGTAGAATTTAGTATAAGATACATGAAGGCCCCCTATATTACATGCTTTCTTCGCTATCTTGTGGAGTATTAATACTTCTTTTCCACTTAGGTCTTTGGGTTTAGTGCTTGGGGCTTTCAGAGATGCAGAGAGCGACAGCAAAGGTACCCCCTAAGCATGCAGAGAGCGACAGCAAAGGTACCCCCAAAGCTAAAACCTTGAATCATCATTTCAAGCCCGCAGGAACCTTAAGGTTGCTCCTCTTATGAAAGGGTGTTTTTGTCTTCTCTGAATACAAACGAGCAGCTATGATATCCGGAAGCTCTCCCGCACCCGTACGCGGGCTCAAGACACCTGCGCCACTAGCACGGAGTCCTAATGCGCAAGGTCAGCTCCGTATTTCCCCTTCCAAAAATTCGGCGCAAGCAACTCCGGAGACATGTGCTTCGTGGACTCTTGGCATTGATGTATGGTTCGGTTTTAGCCATGAGCAATTGGCCTGTCTAGCCTCGTCAAAAACTACAGCTTAGCATCCTTCAAGAACTTCGTCTGATTATGTAGGCCCCTGAACTAGAGAGCATGCTGCACAGTACAAGCTGAGATGTACCATATACGTATGCTTTGCCATGAGGCCAAGGTACGCCGGAGCCATCCCAACAACACCCCTTCAGATGCGAGTCAAAGCCGGAGAAGACCAAGAGATTCACCTAATATAGAAGCCTTAGCAATTGGAATGGGATTTTTTGTATATCATAGTACAAGTAATATAAGGAAACCTTAAGGAATAAGATTGAGAATTACTCAGGCTTCCATATTCGTTACAACCTCGGCCTAGTCTCCCAGGAAGCTCCGATGACACCTAGGGCACCTTTTGCTCTCAAGGCTTTTCTGGGGTCTTGACGACCGACAGTGATCATAGTACGGATCTACAGTAAAGCTTCTTAAGGTATTCAATACGGGAGCCACTCGGGTTTAGGATAGTTGCAGGTTATAAACAGGGAAAGTAGCCTTCATACTCACTTCTGACCCCAAGTAAGTTTGGAACCCCTTAAAGGTTCCCTTAAAGGAACCCTTAAAGGTTCATAGTAGCCTTGCTTCCTAAGTCCGGTGATCCTCCGAGTGAATTTCACTTCTGGAAAGGCTGGAGGCAGGCAGCTAGAGGCAGAGTTGCTGGAAAGCACCCCCGAAACAAACCCCAAACCGCGGTTCCGGTTCGAGCGGTTCCCGTTTCAGTGCTTGCGGTTCCATGCAGTCCCCGGTTCCAGCGGTTTGGTTCCGGAGCGGTTCGGTTCAGCGGTTCCGGTTCGGTTCCGCGACTTTGCGCATGAAATACTGAAGCATCGCACCAGATGCGGCATCAGGGGACGTCGCGGAAGGGTAAAAAGTCACGCCAATCTGGGCAAGTAAGAACAAGAACAAGAATTTCGACAAGAGTAAGTAAATACATAACAATACGAATAAAAGTTATACGTATCATGTTGAGGCTATTCATATTGGCATTACTAGTACTGCTAGTATTCAGCAGTTCAGCAACGTTTCTTCAGCCTTTCGGCACCGAAAGGGAGGGCTCGCGGCTCACCCGGCGCTCGCCGGAAAATTAGTGGGATCCTCCCACAGAGCTTGGAGGATCATGGGACTTAGCAACCTCAAAGGGCTCCTGACAGGGTTCTACTAGGGATCTATAAGGGAGGGTTAGGCTTACTTAAATTAAGGGACCTCATCTTGCATCAACATGAACTTGTCCTTCTTCTCTGTAGGCGAGATTCCTATAATTCCTATGCAGTGGTTGTTTAGCTATCTGCAGTTCCATGAACCTCGCAAGCACAGGACGAAGGCTCCGAGTTCTCTATTTTTTTGTTCAGTGCCGGTTTCAAGAAAACGGAATCTTAGAGTGGCAGGCACTTCTTGGCCCCAACTCCTTCCTAAGCCTCCTTTCGGAGACCTGGGCGTCACTGAGGATATCGCTTGCATCCATCAAAAGGACTCCGGGCTGCATGGGTCACAGTCTTCAGGGCGTGGTTGCAACTCGAGGTTTCTGGATTTTATGGACTACGGCGACTACGGCGCGCTTGAAGCATAGGGTTTGCAGAACTTCAAGGTTATCATGTTTTGAATCGTCGTAGACTAACCCTAAACCCTAATCCCTAGACTAGAGATCATCACCATACCGGTCACGGAAATGAGAGCAGTCTATGGCAGGGCCAGTGGCAAGGTAGGAGTCACAACAGGCGTGGAAAGAAAGAAGGCTATACCAAGCGTCATGATATGCGTCGTCGCGGCAAGGCCCATGTACATAAATCCTACGGCCTAAGCCGTCAACCTGAAGCACATGTCTCCCGGATTTCTGTGTTGTAGACATCATGCATCGAAGCTTTGGCATCGTCTCAGAGTTCTGAGGGGATTGCTCGAAACTTGGTGCTTGCAATCAGAAGCCCGACGAATTAGGAGTGCTTTTCCGTAGGCTCGCTTATCATAACTATGCTATGAGACAACTCCAACCCTACCCTAGTCTAATTCGGGATTCCTACAGTCCTACAAAACCCCTAAACAAACCCACTAAAGAAGCCTGAATTTCCCACCTTAAACGAAGTCCACAAGACAGGACAGCGTTTTGAAGCAACGTGGCATCTACGGCATCGGAGGCTTTCTGAAGTGTGCCAGAGAGCTCCGGGTCCTTTGGACCCCGCCATACCTTTCCAGGATGCCGCTCAGCTGAGCTCTTTTAAAGGGGCTCCTTTCCGGGGCTCCTGAAAGGGTGAAGTTTAGGGTTTAGGGTTTAGGGGTTGGGGGTTTAGGGAATGTATAACCCTCTAATGCCTTTAAGGGGACCCTTGTTATAGAACCCAACGGTACCCCTCAAGGGTCCCGCCGAAGGTTTGGCTGGCAACTTATCATCAGCATGAGTAGCAGGGTAGCACAAGAAGCCATACAGCAGCTACAACAACAAGAAGAGCAGCAACAACAACAACAACATCCATGAAGGCAAAAAGGACAAGAGGACGATCATTACCATCACCGTCATCAGCACCATCAACACCGACCACCATCATCAGATCATGAAGGTCATAACTGCGGCTTCTGATACCATTGTTAGAGCAATCGCTGTAGACATCACCACCACGACCGTCGCCACAATCATCATCGTGCTCATCAACGCCATTCTGATCACCATCCTCCCCGTCACCATCATAATCGTCATTGTCTCCACACCTGTCGTCGCCTTTATCATCACCTGTGTTATCATTCCCGTCGCCCTTACCATGATCACTACCCACCAGTAAGTCTTCATCTGTGTCATCATCTCTATCACCAGCACCAGCACCAAGACCATCATCACCTGCACTCTGTCATCACATCGCTCGAGGCCGGCAGCCCTAGACCCCAGACCCTAGATCCTAGATGCTCATTCGTTCCTGAACCCTAAACCCTAGGTGGTGCATCTTCGAGCTCGCGGCCTATCGCAAGGCCAACCCCTCTGGACGAATCACGTTGGCACCTGCCACTCCGGCTTAGTGTTTAGGACACTTAGGGGCTTATACGGGCTTTAGGGCTTTGTGGTTGTTACAGCTTAGGGGATTTATGGTTGAGTGGTTAGGGCTTAAGGGCTTTATGGTTTAGTGTTTCGGGCTTACGGGCTCTGTGGTTTAGAGTTTCGGAATTTCAGACCTTGAGGTGTAGCCATAGCGGCCTGGAAACTGTAGGTTGAGATCCCCTTTGCGTAATCCCCCTGCACAAATAGGCTGTAAGAAACCTCACATTAAAGCTAATGGTTTGGTGTGTCCTTCGGCGGCTTGCTGTCTGTCACAGGCCGGAGTTCCTGTAATACAGGGGTCTGAAGACAACTGCTAGCTCAACAAATACAGCCCTGCTTTACCAATACCAGGAACGACACTGTTGTCAGTCATGTGAATCTCTTACAGCGGCTTGAATGATTGCCAATACTATCCTCAGGCATCCTTCAAAAAGTCGCGAGAGATATACATAATAATGAAAAATAATAACATATATATATATGTATACAAATGAATACCCTTAGACCCCGGCTCTAAGCAATAAGGCCCCAATATAAAACCCTTGTTTCTGGGGTTCAGTTCAGGGTAAGGTCACACGCTACCGCAAGAAGCAGATGTTACCCAAGAATTGCACTTGAGACTTGGAAGCCCTTAAAGGAACCTTATTCTAAGGGTTTAGGGTTTGTTAAAGCCCCCAAGATAAACGTTTAAGAACGCTGCAAGGGGACTCCTTAAAGGAACGCCCCCGCATTAGATAGTAGAGTTCCTTCCTGACGCTGGAGGTCCCGAGCCTTGAGACAAAATATAGTAAATGTTATCTTATGGTATAGTATGTCATCGTATACAGATGCTAGAATCATCTAAAACTTGTAGGACCTATACCCCCAAAGCTTTGTTTCAAGTCTTCAGGCCCCTTGTTTAAGCACAGTCGGAACCAAGATTTTCATCGAGCACTCTGTCCACCTCGTGGCTGTATCGCTGTGGGGATGCTTGACTCAATTGCGAGGCCGAAGATCACGTAGGGCTTAGTGCTGAGGGTTTAGGATGACTAGACTATATCTAGGCCGACCCGTATTGTAATCATGAAGGCCCCTAAAGTAGACCTTTACGGAACGGTTGCTTAGGGGTTTTAAACGTCTTCAAGAGGTTGGTAAACTTGAGTTGATTCGAGGCGGCCGCGAAGGTTTCAAGCTGTTTTGACGGGACAAGATTACAGCTGCATTCTAAGTACACTATTACTATGCTATGATTAGACTGCAACTATTTTGTAAGTATATTTGACATCTACTCGAAGTACACAACCGCCCTACTATACCTACTGTAAGAAGCTACCCCAGCTTTCAAAGTGGTCATCCGGTTGTCCCGGTCGCCGCAGGGCTGCCGGCTTTGGTTGTCATGTTATGTGTCCCACAACCGTCATGGACGCTTCGGCAGACAATGACTGTACAGGGGCATTGTCTGCCGAAGGCGGTCAATCAACAGGTCATCACTGGCCCCTCCCTGCACAATACGGTGTCAGTAATGTAAATAGAGGGAGCCTAACCCTAAGCCCCAAACCCCCCCAAACCCTAAGCCCCAAAACCCGGAAGCTCTAAACTTGAAGCCCTAAAGCTTCCTGTCAAGATGCGCAGGGCCTGCCTTACAGCAGCTACTACAAGGCGAGAGCCAGCAAATGTCACCTCTTCCGCTCCTCCGACCCCGAAGTCCATGGTGTGCAAAAGGCGGTCCTAC